ATGTTCTAGGACTGGTGGAACTCGACGTCCTTCGCCAACTATTACCGTACCTGGAATGTGGTCGTTCATGACTGGCTCTACCAATACGGATACAGAGACTTCCTCTGGGTGAGCCCATTGTCAATACAGCAACCTACAAATGGATCAGAAATCCTTTATTTCTTCCGCAACAGGGAAATGTACATGATTACAACAGCAGATAGTACAGATAAAGTGAGGGGGGCGGGGGAAATGGCTAAGTATGCACACGTTATTAACAACTATATAAGTAGTAAACTAAAACAAAGTAGAAGATATGTAAAAAAGTAGCAGGATATTTGTTTTTAAGAAAAGTGACCATATTTAATTAAAGTGCTAGCTGGTACTGCAGCCAATTGTAAATCAACTGAGAGAAATACATTAACTAATTAAAAATAAATGAAATTGCAGGAGGGTATACTGTATTGCGCTTGCATGTATATTGCACACAGTTTTATATTACAGACAGTGTTATTTCAGATCAGGGGTATTCCAGGCTATGTGTGTGGGGGGTCCACCAAGGGCCAATAGTCCAAAACTATAATGTGATGTCCCAATTGGTTTTGTCTGTATTTCCTAAACAGCATGTCACATGGTTAAGTCATTATAGTAGTGTAACACTCGTCCTGTAATTCTAGAGACACAAATTCCCAGCTGAGCCCTCCTGACCTCTAACCCAAACCCTGCCTTTCTCTGATCCCTGCAGCTGTCCAAAAGGAAATTCCGAACAGCTGCTATGCTCTCCGTCTTCATCGTCTCTGCTGTCGTCCATGAGTACGCCCTGGCCATGGGCTTCGGCTTCTTCTATCCCGTTATGTTCTTTCTCTTCGCCATCTTTGGAGGTGAGGGTTAAACTAAGTATTTGAGGAACAATCTTCAAATTCAAAAGAACTGGACATTATCGGTGCACGGACCTTGCTGCTGGAGGAAAGCATCCGATTAAATACATGCCAGACAACTCTCATATTGTGCATTGTGTCCTTTTCCTCTGAGCTCAATAAGAAGTCATTTTGTCTCATGCTCTTACTGTATGCCCCCTTACTAGCAAACATCTCATCCTTAACACAAATACACTGTTTCTGTTTAACTTCAGATAACCTTGACACAAAATCAACAAAAACATTGACTTACTTTGTCCTCTCTCAGTGGTGTTCAACTTTGCCATGAATGACAAGCGACAGAGCCCCGTGTTCAACGTGGTCATGTGGGCGTCTCTCTTCCTGGGACAGGGCGTCCAGGTGTGTCTGTACTCACAGGAGTGGTACGCTCAGATACACTGCCCTCGGACAGAGGTACGTGCTCCACATACATGTGCATGCTAGTTCTAGAAAAGGCTCTAGGAAGCTATGCTCAGATGATCCGACTGGTTTCATTTATTTATGGGTGATTATGTTGATTCTATTTAAGGGTAGCTTTACTTTTTATCAAGTTTGACAGGAACAACATCACTATATCTTATAAGGATCACTCAAAATATGTTTACAGAGACACAGACATATAAACACTTGGAAAATATTTCAAAACACGTTACGTTATGATGACACACAGACTGGGTCATACACAGAATCACAAGGTTAAAACACCAGCCAACACTTGTTACTATAGTATACTGTGAGATTCTTCTTAGTTATTGATTATGGTGTTTGAAGGTTCAAATAAACATGGACTGTGTTAAAGCTCAGAGATCATGATTGAACAACATCTAAATCCTTTAAATAAAGAAAGCTAAAAATACATAGACAGATAAAATGTGACTTGTTGCAATACAACAAAGTCACTTTGACCCCAATGTTTGACGTACTTTAAAGGAAAAATAGTTCAGAAGGAGAATAAACTTGAAAGACAAATAAATAGACTTAAACATCACATGGCGGCAGAAACCAGATGAAACTGCTTTCACTGTTTTATAATCCTGGCTTTGTAGTCTCCTTTTATCTCTAGTCATTCCTGAGCGTCTGTTACTACACAGACTACGTGCATAGTGTGGACACGCATATCATTACATTACATGTTACTTGTTAGACGCTTTTATCCAAAGCAACTTACATACTCAATACTGTGGACAATCCCCACAGGAGCAATTTGGGGTGAAGTGTCTTACCCAGGGACACAACCTTTTGAACCTGTGACCCCCTGATCCGAACACCAATGCACAGCCCACTACACCACAAGCCTCCTCCTCCAATATCAATTGTAGAAATGTGTTCTCAAAGAGACAGCTTACCCAATTTACAAACATAAGCCTATGGAGGAGAGCCACATGTGTTAAGAAAAAGTATGTTTGTAAAAATTGGACAAGTAATTCATCGTTTAAAAAGCCCCCCTTCCAACCCCAAGCATTTTATAAAGTCACAGATGTGAGGGATTTGCCTGACAGATGGGCCCAGATGTACTTAACATACTTATTCTACTATGACAACCAGCTACAGCATCCAACCACGCCTCATTCTCTCACACAATGGCTTAACACAGTTAACGGCTCTCTAAAAATAGACCTAAATGAGATTAGTCATGATGTATGGATGTTAAATCATACAGATGAAATGTATAAAAGGATGTTACCATATTTAGATCAATATTTCTACTTTGTCTCAACAGAATAGCTTCTGGGAGATAGTGACGCCTCGATCGTGGTCGTGCAGCTACCAGAGATGATGCTGCCTTTCTGTGAGAACCGAGGGATAAATGATGAAAGGGTAAAGGTCTGAAAAATTGAAGACTGGCAATAGCAAGGAACTTGAAATGTATGTTAATATATATGTTCTTTTCTGTATTTGTGTGTGTTAAGATGTATTTGGGTCAAGATGTGACTGTCACTGTTATCTTGTTGAGTTGTTATTCAGATGTGACGCTATTCATAAGTCTCACTTCTGAATTATTCCTATTTTTATACAGAAAGTATTAAATACTGTGAAATAATTCAGGCCGTGTAAAACTTTCTTTAAAAATGATTGCAACGAGCTGATATTTATCATGTGCCTGTTGATTGTTGTACTGTAAGCAAAATGTTGCACATCAATAAAATGTATTGACAAAATCTTTATCGCAATGTTTAGAAAAAAGTTTGTCATTTTGTAAAACATTTGGTGTTTATGGATTAAACAAACAGGATAAGACATGTGAATGGATGAGCTTTGGAGATATGCAGATTATTTACCTCCGCCAGGATAGCTGTACCAGTATTTATCCTAAGCTAAGCTAACCACCTCTTCAGCTTGAACACAGTCAACAGGGGAAATATGTAATATATATTTATAAGCTATATAAGTATCATAAGATCCCTGAAAGTAAATGTATCAATTATTTCATTTTTCAAAATAATCAGATATACAATGTTAAAATTGCCAATGTATGTCTGCTATATTTATAGTAAAATTGGACATTTTACAAAATATATCAGTTACTACTTCCTGCAGGTTTGCCACAGGGCATCTGGCCTGCTGTGTGTGTTGCGTGTTTGATCCCACCTTGGTGGACTTTCAGCTGGTAGGGATTGGCTGGGAGAGCAGGTACATTAACCAACCACAGGCAGCGTCTTATCAGTGTGATACAAAGCCTCTGTTTGTCTGCCTGCCACATCAGGAAGAAGAAGATTAACATGAACTCAGTGTTTGCATTAGTGATGTCATGCTCTGTAAACTGATACAATATGAAACCATGGGAGCTCAGAGGCACATCAGGATGGGGATAGTTTAGTGGCAGCGTCATTATAAGATTTTTCTTTTACATGTCCTCGTTTGACATATTTCATCAAATGTTATGCTTGAAAATGAAATCATCTGTTTCTTGCATTTTCTCTTTTGACATTCTTTTATAGCCTAACTTTCTTATGACTTATGAAAGGGAGCTGTCACATTTTATTTCTTTTTTATGGGATATTTTCACTGGATGAATACAATGAGGAAAAAAGACATTTGCAGAAACATATCCTGCCGAGTCTACAACGATATAAATCTCCATTAAAAAGCTGTTTTTGAAAATTGTCCAGCGAAATGGAACATTGTATTAAGAACTTTTTTATTTATTTGGAGTCGTGTCTCTGGCCATTTGACTAATATCAATACAATTTTGACTTTCTTTTTAGCTTTGGTCTGTTCTTCACCAACTATTGAATGGATGATCTACATTTAAAGCTGACAAACACTTCATTTTGGATAACTTTGTCAGGTTGCACTAAGTGGCTTTTTTCAACAACAACAAAAATGGCTGCGTCTAAAGAAAAGCTTGATCAAGATGGTCAGATTGCACAGTAAAGTTTTTTTTTTTTTAATTAGCTGATAGATTCTAAAAGGCTTTGTAGAACTGAGAGAAGTCGGGTCCAATAATTTGATCCATTGCTAATGTGAAAATATTGATTATGCAGCTTTAATTTGGCTTTGCAAATGAAAGGAAATGACCTAGCAATATATTGGACATGTTTGGTCATTCAGTATACTGATGGAAGGAAGAGGGATACTGTTCATTGAGTCTGCAGCTGTAATGCGCTGTAAATTACATTGCCAATGGATCACTTACACAGTAAATACTTTGAATGAAAGCTGGCATAGAGATAGTGAGCATGTAATGCAGCCACTTTACAGCATCGACATTTAAGTTCAACCATCAGGATTTCTCACTCTACAAGGCCCATCTCTTTGTCGATCTGAGTTACAGTGCAGTTTAAACCAGTTTTCTTGTCCTGGTTGAGATGAATGCATCCCAAAGGGTTAACTCCTGAAGCTGAAATACAAACCTCTGCTTGGCTGGTTCTAATTTGGAAACTGCAACAACCACAAGCAATGTTAGGTTTGTTTCATACTGTATTAATGGAAAATATGCTTAAATTGCACATTGACAGATTTGATTATATGCCTCCACACTTAATGCCCTACTCTGCAATACCCCCGCTGTCTCCAGTGGCCTCTGGTATGAACGTTTTTATGTTATATGACTAAAAAACACATTTGTCATGGCAGTATAAAATAAAGGAAATCAGAGTGACGTTTTCATTCCAGAGTGGTTTATTGGTTTGTCAACTGGCAGGTTTCGCCAAAGCACCATAAACAAACACAAGAGTTATAACCTGCCATTTTTGTATTTTTCGATGGTAGCAAGATGCATTCAGGAACAGTGGGATTAAAGAGTAAACAGTCCAAACAAAACATAACACCTTCACAAAAGGGTTAAACATATCCTTAAACAAAAGCAAAACGTAGACAGCAGCTTTCACACTTAGCACGCTATGAGCTACACTTTTAACATCAGGCTGTATTTCTCAGGGAAGAGAAAGAAATAGATCGATTGTGAGCCACTCTGTAAGAGAGATATTGAGAGATAGAGGGGGAAGGGCAGCAGGATTCAATCTGCAGCCATAAACAGGGATTAGAGATGAGCATGCAGATACTCACCTACTTTCATCTGAAATACCAGCCTGTGCTGTGTGTGCCTGTGAGTCATTTAGTGTACGTGTGTGCAAAAGTGTGTAATCATGTGGTGGGTGGGTTATGTGGGGGAGCAAATCAGCTTTGAGTAGTTGATCTGGAACAAAGTGGCTCAGGAAGCAACCAGAGCTGTGATTTTTATTCCCCAATATCCGTGAACAACATCTATAATCGGGGGTTTAGAGCACACAGGTTAGGCAGGAGAGGGAGTTTAGATGGACTCACATTGAAACCAAGAGACAGACACAGACAGTAAAGACAGACTGTGACCATGTGCTCAGTGCAAACAAACTTCGAAAAGCAGAAAAAATGACATGGAATAATTTCTAATGGGATCCACAAGCTGGAAAACAACATATTTGACTTTCTTCCTCCTTTCCACAAACATGTATCTTGCTTTAAGTGGTCACACAATGTGGGCACACTCAGACTTTTCTTAAGTGTTACTTCGGACAGGAAGTGGAGGATGGATTTCACTAATTATGAGTGTGCAGACACAGTAAATCTGTCCTACAGATTTCTGGTGGCTAGCAGCAGGGCTATAGTCATAATACGTATTGGCTGCAGAAATGTGTGGCCTGAACCACATGATGACTGCAATGCCGACGATAGTGAAACTTCACTCAACTATTAGGTCATGTGACTGCGCTGCTTAGGAGGTTTTCACCTCGGGGACAAGAAACCCAAACTTTGTGAATCAACACAAATTGTTTTCTGTTATTTAACAGAGGATTCTTTTTCACAGTACTGTTTTCTGTCTCAGACACAGAGGGCAATAGGACAAAAAGCACTTTAAAAGTAGTTGCTCTAGTACAGCAAAGGAGTGACTTCTCAGCCTGAAGAATATCAATTAAAAGCAGGAGACAGAGGGGCTTTGGTCCCAGTCCAATTGGTGTCCAAGTGCTTCAAAAGAGCAGAACAGACTGGTGCAGAATGTTAAATTTGCCAAAGACAGCATAGTCTTACTCACATCAAGAAAAATAAAAACTGCTAAACTCCATACAACATTTACATATTAGCTCAGTGCAAAATGGATATATTGTCCATTTATCTTAGTCGAATCTATACAAGACCACATAGAAAACTCACTTCAGTGTGAAGCGTCACAGGCGAGGAATGCTTGTGTTTAGAATTGATTTTCAATTGGTCTTGGCATTAGAAAGCCTCCAGCCAGCGCCTGCCTTATTAAGTAACAGACAGAGACTGTGTTTACATGCAGAGTGGTTCTGGGCTGAAGGCAGTGGAAGGTCCCTGCTTAGATTACGTTTTGGAGGCTGAACTGCTCCCATCAGCATTTGTGTGACTGTTAGTGGCAGTGCTAGAGGCTTAACCATGCACACACACAACAACATTAAAAGAAAAACATGCAGCGCGAGGCAAGGAACAACTGGAACAGTATAACCTATTTGTGAAAACAGAATATCCTTTGTGTGAAAATAGAACCGTTACTAAATGTGGGATGATCTACGTAAACAGCGTTATACAAAATATCTGACCTTCAAATTCAAATGATCAAACCATGACTTTTAAGAGGGCAGTTTGTTTGATTGTCCTTGAGAATTTCTACAGTAACTATAAGATTCATCTCATGTGATAGACAAAAGGAAAAATCTTGCTTTTCTTGTGTATTTTTACCATTTTCCATTCTAGACAGAAAGTTAAACTGGAACAAAGGGATGATTAAAAAATGTAGGTTAAGCTAACGTGGAAATGGACTATAAAAATGTTAGGTCTTTGCTCAGTAAGGGTCATGTATGGTGACTAAAATATGTCCAGAGGAGTTTTGGATACAAAAATACAAGAGAATTTAAAACACAATCTTTTGGCATTGGTTGTTAAACAGTAATGTCTAAACACAGAAAACCAGCGGGGTCTTTTTCGCTTCATTTTTGTCTAAAAGTTATTTCTCAGCCATTTGTATCCCGCTATATTCTGGGCATCACCTCTTTGTGCCTCTTCACGAACATTCAGACTTCAGATCGGCAGCAAACAGCAGGTTTACTTATTTTGGAGTGCGCTGCTTTGCCAGCCGCTTCATGAAGCAACAGGTCACTGTTGAGATGATGAGGATGCCCACAAACAAGGCCGAAGAGACTCCGACCACCAGAGGGATGAGCAGGAGGTCTTCAGCTGGGGGAGGGTAAGAGAGAAGAGAAGGATGTTGTAATGTAAAGTGACATTTGTTAAAGTGTTAAAACCTAATTTCAGAAGGAAAAACGTACTCCTATATAATCACATAGGAAAATATTTTTGTTTTGCCAAATCAAATGTTATTTTCACCTTCAGGCACCACAAATATTTTTGAAGAAGCAAGTGAATGGAAAAACCAAAAGCACGGTTTGAGCTGGAGATTCAGTAATGTGGAGACTGAAACTGGATCTAGACCCACGCCCAGAACAGAGAGAAAGTACACAACTAACTCTGCTACAAGGGCCAACACATGATTAGTGTAAACATGATCACTGTGCTCAACATATCTCTGTTCTGCTTCTGTAAATATTTAATACATATAAATACAAATACACTATGGGTATTTTGACCGTAAATATTTGGACTCGAGTCCACTCCGTTAGAGATATGTTACAAATACTCAAATACATTGATACTTAAAATTTGACTTGAAATAGGTCTCAAACAATCTGAAGCTGAACTGAACAACATTATATTCAGGGATTCTTCTAGAAAAATATAGCATGAGGGCCTAACGTCACTTCCGGACACAAATACGGCACGCCCGCTTTCCGGAGAAAAAAATGCATTGGAGTGAAGGGCAAAACAATAGTTTCTTAATGCCTTAAAGCTGCTGAGTCAAATATTGCACCTCAAACAACAAATGAATCCTGAGTTACGGCTATTTTCTTCCTCTACAGAAAAAAGGACAGTAAAAGGAACGATCTAATACAGAAATCACAGTTTCAGAGTTAGCCTGCTGCCTGCCACATGTCTATTGGCAGACCGACCGGATATCGATCCCCTATTTGTACTCCGTTAAAAATGCCGTCTGACGGCCTATTTGACATGATTTTCAGATTTTTGGAGTGATTATACCGTTTTTCAGAAACAGTAATGTGTTTTCTGGCACCACTTTAACATTTTAAAGGAAAAATTGGCTGTTTGTTATGAGGACGCACGCCAAAAGTAAGAGGGCACAGCTTTAGTTTAATTTGAATATCTTTGGATGTTAGTTTGACAACAAAATGTTAACGTCTGCTTGGGCTCTGTAAAATCATAACAAGTACTTTTCACCAGGTTCCTTTAAAGAAATGGTCATCAAGGAAGTACTTGTATCAAATGACTTTGAAAGACAAGCTAGTTAATTGCAGCCCTAGGTGCTTTTGGTCCACCCGTTCAGAATCTCACAGAATAAAAAAACTGCTAAATGGGACAGGAACAAGTGATATAAAGTGCATATACAAATATTGAATATGCAAGTGCAGGGGAACTATGCCCTGATTGCTAGGGAATTATAGAGAAGAATAAATCTCACTCAAAATGTACAGACATTTCTCAAGGTTAAGAGTAAATGTTTGAAATTGACTCAACATTTACACAGGCCACCCTCCAGCTTGTGACGGAAGGTCAATGGAGCTGGAAGTTTTCAAACACTAACTTGAGTAGAAGTAGTAATACTACAGTATAACAATCCTCCATTTAAAGTAAAAACCCATGCTCCTAAATCTTCAATAATAGCAAATGTAGATAAAGTATTATAAATAAAAGTTCTAATTATGTCTCTTGGTACTGTCAGTGTTACACTACCACCAGATTGGATCAGGGGAAGTGTTTCCTGGTTTTAAAGGCTGCCTTACAGTAGAGTGATTTCATTTCCTGAACTTCAGTCGTTATATCAACATTACAGATGATGATTGTGAGTTTTATTAGTACTAACGTAAAAGAATAAACTGGAACTGTTGGTAATCCTTCACAAATCCAACCCCCAGGAGACTCTTACCTCTGGAATACATGTAGACGGTCACTGCATTGGACTCTGCTCTGGCCCCTGTATTGTACCAGCCTCCATGGGGGTCCTGACCCCACGCCTGGGCATGACACGCATACATGCCCTGATCATCCATGGTAGCTGAGTGGACCCTCAGTCTGTAGCTACCAGCGGACAGGCGGTCAATGCTAACGTCGCTAGTGTTGACGTAGATCTTTGCAACACCGTCGTACATCAGGGCGGCTACCAGGCTGGGCCCCTCCTCCACAGGGGGGTCCGGTACAGTAACAGCAGAGGCCGGGCTCTCCTCCCTCTTGATAACTCGAGGAGGGATTGGCCACCGCAGCCACTGCACCTGCGCCTGGGCGGGACCTGTGGTCGTCACGGTGATGTTGCAGATCAGGGTGATGGTGTTGCCTCGTTTTAGCAGAGGGCCTCGAAGGAGCTGAGCCACAGCTGCAACCAGCACATCTGGAAGGAAATGGTACAGTCAAAGAATAGATATAGAGGGTAGACTTAACATATGTGACTGCTAAAACAAAACTGAATGAATATTGTGTGATCAATCAAATGGTAGCAATCATCTACTTAACAATGTGATCTTAGTTAACCCAAGTTTATCAGCATTTTAGAAGTTTCTGAACATTTGAAAGGAAGCAACTACAGATTCATTGTTTTAGTCTACATTTGAGCACTAGCATACTATACTAACTTATTATACACCTCAGATTTTTTTCTTTCATTAAAACCATTCATCAGTAAATACAAAGTTTAATGATTTTAAAAGGTCCCATGTCATGGCCATTTCCACTGATCATAATTCCATTGTTGAGGTCTACTAGAATAGATTTATATTGTGGAATTTTCCAAAATCACGTTGGTTTCTCATACAGCATCTCTGTAAACTATGTGTATTCACTGAATTTCACTCTCTGCCTTTAACGGCTCGTTGTAGCTCCAATAGCTCCAGCCCCCACCCTCCCTGTGAGCACAGTGTGCTCTGATTGGTCGGGACGTTGTGAATCGCGCTGAGCTCCATGGAGGTGTGGTTTACTTGTTTAGCGACAGCGAAACACAGCTAAACTCACCCTGAGCACACACAAAGTCACAGCCGAAGTAAAAACAATAAGTGTGGCTTGATATCGAGTAAGAAAAAGGTTGATAAACGCTGTGAGAATGGGTNTGTGTAGCGCGAGCCAGAGATAGAGAGCGCGCGCACCGGTTATGTGTTTGGTTGCTGTTAGCATCTGGTGCTAGCTAGCTGCGCTAACGGATATAAGGAGCTGTCTCCTTATATCCGTTAGCGCAGCTAGCTAGCACCAGATGCTAACAGCAACCAAACACATAACCGGTGCGCGCGCTCTCTATCTCTGGCTCGCGCTACACATACACACACACCCTCCCGAGCTTGAATGACACAGAGATCAATCGAGGGCTTCAGTGTATGATCTGTATGAAAGTGGCCATGTCGGCAGGCCACATCATGTAGACAGCCAGTCTCCCTCTGTGAGGCAGAGTAACGGCCCGTCCACACACAGGCATGAAAAACATCTTTCAAAGCTTCGCCCATTCACTTCAATGGGTTGACGTAGAAGATTTTTAATCTTTGCCGAACTGCATTGTGGAGAGCGGAGCATGGCTTTGCAAGCATCGTGAGCATCAAAAGTTGAGTAATGTTCAACTTTTGATGCTCCCAATGCTTTCGAAGCTGGCCTCAGCCAATCAAATCCCATTCAATTAAAATGGGATTAAAATGTGTCGTAAAACTGTGAAGTTACACATTTCTTTGTGTGAAGCGCTCAATGAACGTCACCAACACCAAGATGGCCGTCACGTTGGTAAATTTCACCTCTTTCTTTCAGAATGAGGCGAAAAGTATTAAAAGAGGTGAAAATCACTACAAGTCTGGGCATGTTGAGAGCTGTACATACGAAAAAGGGGGAGTTAGTCGGTTCCGTAAGAGCCAGCATGCGGGACCGGCTTTACAAGGTTTCGGTGAGTAACACGAGTGTAATGTGTAACGTTAATGTCAGCTAGCTAACATTAGCTAACAAGGTACACTCTCGTGTTTTGTTTTAGTTGCTCTTCGAGAACGAGCAAGAGGTACTATTACTGGTATGATAACAACCTGGTACAAAGCACAAAGGGATCTTGTTAAAGTAAGTAAGTACAGTAAGTAAATGTATTTTTAGCTATCTGGAGGGAATACATCAGTTATGACAGCACTTACGCGACTCTGGGATTTGTAGTCTTTCTAGTTGCGTATTTTTCATAGTCTTATATTTCAACAGTTTTAAGACAAACTTTGAATTTTCTGACATGGAAAGGATTTTTTAAGATTGACAAACAACATAGTGTAATTCATGGCACAATTCAAACGGGATCAAAAGATAAGTTTTCTCTCTCCATTAACTTCAATGTATTATTTTTTCGGAATAAGGTCCCATGATGCGGAAGTTAAGTGGGCGTGACTTCGCCACTCTATAGACAGACATGACATGACGTGAAATAACATGAAGACTTGACATAAATACCTGACTAGACTTGGAATGACAGAGAAAATACATAAACATAACTAACAAATTTGACGAGACACAACATTTGGTGATGAAAATACCTATGACATCACTGTGTTGCCTACCTACATAATCATTTTCACTCCTTTTAATTAAAGTGAGTGTGTTTACCTTTAGGCAAAAGCATTTTTACAGGGGTTTTTTGTTAAGTTTGATGCACGCATCTACTATTAATTATTTTTCAGATGTTTGTGGGTTGTTTTGATATTATGTTGCTGTTCCCTAGATGCAACTACATTATCTCCATCATGAGGGTTATTTAACTGTGTCATTAAAACCTGGTATTCCTGTAATGACGGCTCTTAATTTTGAAAAACTTGTCATAGCAGTGTAACATCATTTATTCATGAATTTGTGTGAGGTTGCAACATGGGGTAGCACATTATGACCATCTGAGGAATGTTTTACTGTATCTCCTTAACCTACAATGGAGATTGTTACACTTGAACATGCCACAGGTGCATAGAGGTGACTGTGACAGAGATATCTCAAAGGTTGGGAAGGAATTGAGGCTGCAGATAATGAGATGCCAGCTGCAGATTTACACACCTCCACTGGCTCACTGCACATCATTAAAGCCAGAGGCTGCTTGCAGTGGCTTCATCTCTGTCCCAGCCCACACAGCCTACGTCGGGCCCCACACACTGATTTATCTCAGCTGTCTTTCTGAACGGCTTTTCCCGCCAAGAGAGAGATGGGGGATGACGAGATTTACGCATGTATATGAGATGAATTTCATTTTGGGAACAGCATGCCTTCTCTTACATAAAATAACCCTTTTTGCCCCCGATTCCATTCTCTCCACCACTATGTCTCCAAGAGTGAGAATCAGTGATTGATGTTCATGTTCACAATGTCTCTAAAACATACCTCAGTCACACCAGCATTCACTCCCTCAGTTGTCAATTTTTCTAAGATGTCTCTGATTGTTCTAAGCTGAACATACATAATAATTTTGGAGCCAATATGCTTTCCTTTGTCACGGTCATGGCAAATCAGTTAGTATGTCACTTTCATGTTCTAGTGCCAGTGTGACAGGAAATGGAATTGAAACAAAGGTTGCACAATGCACAATGTACATACACTTAAAAATAAATGTACATTATATGTATGCACATTGCAGTATAGGCTAGCAGTCTCAGCCTACACCTTATCTTGGGTACCAGCTAATCAGGAGCCAAGTCAGTGCATGCTGTTTGAGAAAAAGCAGAGCTAACATCCTGTGGGACCTGCTAATCCAGACAGATGAACGAGTACTGGTATACCGTGCAGCATTGTGGTAATAGAGAAGGAACAGAAGACAGTGATGATGGAAGTGGCAATCCCATGTGACTCAACACATCAACAAGATGGAAAACGGATACATTTCAGGACATGAAAGAGGAAACGGTGGAAAAGCCCTCCCGAATGGTGGTAAAAGCACTCAGAGCTGGAAATGAATTCATCATATGTCCTAACCCTTCTTTAGATGACCATTTAATCAGAAGTAAAATATGTATTTTGTTATTTTATTCTTGCAAACAAGCTCAACAATTGTATTAATTTCCTTGCCTGTGAGGGATATGAATCTATCGACACATTGTTGTGGCAGTTTGTTGTTGACACTCCAAGGCTTTTTATTCAGATTTGTTACAAGGTTTTGTTGAATACTCGATTCTCACTGTACCCTTGGATAAGACCTTTAGAAAAACAATAACAAATTAAACTAAACTGACAACTTGCAAACAAATCTTAACTTCGTTTATTTATCACCTATCATGCAAGATGCAGCCCAAAGTGCTTTACAGAGCAAGATAACATATAACAATGAGTCGTAATAAACAGTTATAAGCATCATTAGAACAAGTTATAACAAAAAAGTCCACAAAACTATAAAACAATAAAACATGAACATTGAAACCCCTAAAATTACCCCACATTAATATTTCAAAAAAAATTCCAAGGGGGTTTGGCTAAAATCCAAAGGCAGATTTCTTGAGAAAATACAAAGAACTTTCCTCTAAAGAAAGAGGGCCTCCTTTCAAAATAGACAATAACTCCGTTCAATTTAAAGGGATAATGCTTTAACTGCGTACACCCTAAAGCACTGCAAGGCATGTGCCATACTCCAATTAGGTTGATGATTTATCTCCTCTATAATTGAGGGCCAACAAACTTAATAATGAGGTGGTTGAAAAAAAGGTTAATTGGAAAGTTTTATTCTAATATTAAGTTCAAACCGTAAATCATTTTGCTAATCAATTACCTTTACTCTGTACAAACTTCCATTAAGTCATGTGAGATGATTTGGAGATCTATTGCAATGCAACACAACTGGAGTATATATAAGGAAACAGTAAGCACCTTTCTTTAATACTTGCATTTGGAAAGTAACATTCAGTATCCTCTTCAGCCTTCTATTGCTATTTGTTTTCTCTACAATACATTTCTGTTTAACAAAATGAAATGACTGGAAAATTATCCCCACCCATATTACCATTTAGGCAAATAACAACATTCTCACACGTAACTGAGGGTGGAATTATTTTGAACAGGCTTTTTTTTACGTACATTTCAAACATATAAACTTAATTGTGAATTAAAATGTAATTCCCACAAGGTGACTATGAAAGCACAAATCCATCATAGACTTATTTATCAATCAATGTTTTGTGTCACGCAGTCCAGCCTACTGAGTGTTCCTTTTTTTTTTAATAGAGCCCGCACCGCGTACATTTGAATACACACCTTGTTGACTAATAACAAACATCATCCTCTAATCTCTTTGTTTCAAGTGTAAGGATGAGAGCTCTTAAATCAACCCATACCTTCTAACCATCTAGGACATTGATTCAAGTTAATCTTTGTTTTCTGCTGTCTGTCGAGCATAATCCTGCAATTGCGCTTTACTGCAAA